TCTACCTGGGAGACTGCTCATTCTAAACATGTCATTTCCTCTCTCCAGTGGCCTTCTATGATCTGGCAGAGCCTAAGGCCCCATCTCTCCTATGAGTCTCTACCAAACCCCTCACTTGCCCACCCAGTGGTCACTGGTCTTGGGAGGGACCTCCCCCTTAACTGAGCTCCAACTTTTGTTACTATGTCATCCTCATCCTCGCCGGCAGCAGGGTACCTGGCCTAGGTAAGGGCCCAAGTACAGGTATCTGTCATATCTTTTTTTAGTCACCAGCCACAGTTTACACAGGCCTACTCAACTCCTGCTCAGTGAGGAAAACTTCATAATCTTATCTGAGAACAAGGGTGCAAGAACCTTGTGCTCAAAAAAGATGGCATCTTTATGTCATGACATTGCTAAGATGGCACTGCTCTCAAATTAATTTATTAAGTTCAACAAAATCTCAAAATTATACTAAAGTTCATTTGAAAACTAATATTGTGAAAATAACCTGGAAAATAATTAGAACAGTAGAATGAAAGGGACTAGACCTACCCTTATATTAAAACATACTCTAGCCTAACCGGTTTGGCTCAGTGGATAGAGCCTGGACCTGAGGACTGAAATATCCCGGGTTTGATTCTGGTCAAGGGCACATACATTGGTTGCAGGCTCCATCCCTGAGCCCATGTGTGGGAGACAACCAATCAATATCTCTCTCTCTCTCTCTCTCTCTCTCTCTCTCTCTCTCTCTCCCCCTCCCTCCTTCCCTCCTTCCCTTCCATTCTCTATAAAAACCAATGGAAAAATATCCTCAGGTGAGGATTAACAACAACAACAACAAATAAAGTCATTTCTTTAAAAAACACTCTGAAGCTATAGAAACTAAAACTGTACTATGGAATGGACAAACTTATCAATGGATAGAATAGAAAGTCTAGAAATAGGTACAATCAATATGGGAATTTAATTAACGATACAGGGAGTCTTTCCAACCAGTGGGAAAATGAAGAATTATATAACAAATGGATTGAGACAACTGGATAACCATAGGAAGGGGAACTATATCTCATTCATTTTACCTAAATAAATTAATTGCAGCAGAATCAAAGTTTTAAACATCAAAAAATGAAGTGATAACTTTCTAAAAGAAAGCATAGCTATATATATAAAAGCCTAATACGCTAAGTGTCCGACTGGTCGACCGGTCACTATGACACACTGACCACCAGGGGGAAGACGCTCCCACCAGTAGGTTAGCTTGCTGCTGAGATCCAGCCGATCAGCACTGGGCGAGAAGGCCAGATATGCCCTGGAGCCAACCTCCCATGGTCCCTCCCTGGCCTCTAAATATTTCTTCTAATCAATTTCCTTTCAAATGTGTATGAATCTGTGCACTGGGCCTCTAGTATAATATAAAACTTATAATGTTGGGATGAGGCAGATTTTTCTAAGCAAATACAAAACCCAATAGATAAAACATTTTCCTAATATTTTAAAATGTTAAATTGTAAATTCCCAAGATTTAACCTTCATGTGTTTGGATTTGTACATACTTCCTCCTTTGATCCATGCTTGCCTGACCTTCCTTTTTCCTTCTCTTAACTTCTCATTCCTCCTCCTCTCATTCCTGTAACCTGTTATCTCCACTCCTGGAAAGCAAATTGGGAAGTAGGTTTAACCATGTTTCATGAGGATCCCGCCTCCCCAGTGCTCACAAATTTGTATTCTTTCAAATACTTCACAGATCTCCCAAACTCTGAAAATCTGAGTCAGCCTGAAAATATGTATCTAGCTAAGCCTTTTCTTTTCCAGGAATGCTCTACGACTAGAGAATGATGGGAAGGAAATTAGGAAAAGAGAATTAGGGGGATGATTTACTTTGTTTGTTTTTTATTTTTTAAACTTCCTTCTCAAAGTCCTCGTTTAATTATTTGCATTCTCATTATTTATTAGAATTACTCCTTGATTATAATTTCAAGGTGCATTACTGATAAGAGCATTGGTAAAATGTTCTCGTGGGGGCCAGGGTCCTCTCAAGAGTACACAGTCAGCCCACAGGCCCTAAATGGTAAAAACTCTCACATTTTATTCTTGAAAAAGACATTGAAAAAAGTTTCAACTCTGAGAACTTCAAACTATTTCTTTAATTGAGGGGACACCCTGTATGTTAAAGAAGCAGACCCTGAATCAACAGTTCCTCTCTCTTTGGGATGGAGAGGCCCTGGCTTGGCCAGTGGCTGGTAGTAATGTCTGGCTGACACCGTCTAACATGTTTCTCTCTCTCCACCCCACCTCCCACCCTCCTTTATCTCTCGGCAGCCTTCATATGCTGAGTTTGATATTAGTGGAAATGTGCTTGGTTTGATCTTCAACCAAGGCATGATCTGGTGAGTTACCCAGTTCATCTGGGGATCACCTCACTTGGGGAGTCAGAAAACTGGAATCTCAGGCGTGGCCTCTCAACTAGCTGGGAGAGGCAGGAGCTCCCTCCTTCCACGTGAAAACCAGAGGGCGGGACTAGATGAGAACCAGCAGTGTCTGCCCACCCCTGTGCTCTGGTGGGCACAGTGAGGGAAGAAGAGAAGAGGTGGAGAGAGAAGGAAAACAGAAAGAAGAGAGGGACAGGGGAAGGACAGCGGGAAGAAGGCAGAAAGGAAAAAGTGGGGAGGGGAAGAGGGAAGGGGAGGAAAGAAAGAAGGAGAGAAGGAGGGAGATAAATGAACTAAGGAACTTCTTCCTCTGAGGGAGTTAGAGGAGGTTGTATAACTTCAGCCAAAGACTTTCAAGATGCCAATGGCTCAGTGCAAGTCAATGTCCAATTCTCTTAATTTGAGAACTTTTCTGAGCAGTAATGTTATTTTAGGGAGACCATGGAGAAACGGACAGGAGGCCGTATAATTTGTTAGATGCCTGGTGCTGAGGCAATAATGCTCGGAGTGTCTCCTTCAGAGGAATGAATGGCTATGGTCTGGTGATAAATGTCCTGGTTAAATGGGAGGCCCCTTCCCTTGGGACCTGCAGAGAAGGCGAGGCCTCCTTCCCGTAACCCATCAATCCCATTTCCTTCTGTCACCCTTCCCTGGCCTCCCCTGCTGCCAGGCCAACCTGGTGTGTGTTTCTGCCCCTCCAGGATGGGCTCCTTCTATGCTCCAGGACTGGTGGGCATCAACGTGCTGCGCCTGCTGACCTCCATGTACTTCCAGTGCTGGGCGGTGATGAGCAGTAACGTGCCCCACGAACGCGTGTTCAAAGCCTCCCGATCCAACAACTTCTACATGGGCCTCCTGCTGCTGGTGCTCTTCCTCAGCCTCCTGCCAGTGGCCTACACCATCATGTCCCTCCCGCCCTCCTTTGACTGCGGGCCATTCAGGTGCACAGCCTTGGTTGCATAAGAGAAGCTCCCCCGCCCCCAGGCAGTCTGCTCAGAGAGCAGTGGCTCAGAATTCCAGTTCTGGTGTCACATCGGCCTGCGAAAGGCCATGGAGCTTGGGGCAAATCATGAGTGTTGCTCAACAGTTTCCTGCAGGATGGAAATGCCCTGTGTGCACGATCCAATGGGGTAGCCCCAGCCATGTGGCTATTGAACACTTGAAATGAGGACCAAGACACTGACTTTCTAATTTGCTTTCATTTGAATTAATTTTAATAATCACCCCATATGGCTAATGGCTACCATATTGGACAGCACAGTTCTGACCTTTTAACATATGGATAAATAACGTAACAGGGATGGGGGTAGGGGTGGGGGGGAGGCGGTATTCTGAAGATGAAATGACCATATACAGTATTGACAAGCGCCATTCAAGGGTGAAGCAGCTACTGAGACTCTTGACTGGGACTCCATGTTTTGCAGAGCATTTGCCAGCACTGTGGGTTCAGGGTATATGTCAGACTAGTTTGGGAGACTGGACATTGAATAAAGAGATCAGTAATTATACAAGGAGGTACATTGAGAAATCTGTGCATCTACTGCTCTCTTTCCAAATGTGAGACCTTCTGGAAACAAAGCCCTCTCTCTACTCCATAAAAAGGAGTCTGTGGTTAAAGCCATTTGGAACATACTGACTCTTTTATCTGCCACCTTCTCACTTCGAAATGCCTGATGTAGTTCCTTTATTAAAGGCTTGGAGGAATCATGCAATAAGATAAGATGTGCATGCTAATGTTTCTATCCTTTTTTTTTTCTTTTTGTTTTTTTTAGAGAGGAAGGGAGAGGGATAGAGAGTTAGAAACATCGATGAGAGAGAAATATCCCTACTAGGGATGTGCCCACAACCAAGGTACATGCCCTTGACCGGAATCGAACCTGGGACCCTTCAGTCCACAGACCGACACTCTATCCACTGAGCCAAACCGGTTAGGGCTAATGTTTCTATCCTTATTGGCCACAGACCCTTTCTTCATGTAACACCCATCCAGGGCCGGGAGTGGGGTGAGGTGCCAACCCTGCATTTGCACGAGCCTCAGAGTGAATACCTCCTTAAATTGTGCACCCCAGAGCCTCGCCCGCCTCACTCCAGTCCCTGCCCTGCCTACTAGTGTGGATCAACACACTTTGGGAAATGCTGCTCAGTTTATAAAGGACTTAGCTAGATACAGCCCTGTAGTTAGTGCCCCACAGTGAGTGTCAAGGGAACTCAAAGGAGAGAGGAGTGCTCACAACAGACTATAATCTGACTGATCAGAGGTTCAGACAGAAGGAAAGGGGGGCTAGATGTAGAGTAGATGGCCTGACTGCCAGGCTGAAGGGAGAACCACATGGCACAGGTGGTGGAAGCCGTCCTGAGCGAGGTTTGGAGGACTGGGCTCTGGGTGCAAATGCCAGTGCCCCTTTGCTGAGGCTGCCTGCCTGTCCCCAGGCAGGAGGCCAGTGAATGGGCCTGTGCCAGGCCAGGCGCTCACCATCTGCATGTTTTAACATCTGTTTTTGATGTCAAACTAAAAATACTCCCAAAGCTGCCACCTCCTTCCTGTCACTCTTCTGATCAAAACCCATCAACGGCTGGAACATTCATCCCGTAGATATTTTCAATGCTTCCTCTCACTTGCTTCAGGTCTTTATTCAAAGGTCACCTTTTCAGTGAGGCCTTCTCTGGAGACCCTAAGGAAAATGCCACACACACACACACACCATTGTTTCTGCTTATTCTATCTCCTTACTAACGTCTACCTGCCATTCCTTCTGCCTATTTATCTTGTTTGTTGTCTGTCTCCTCCACCAGGACATAAGCTCCATGAGGGTGTGATTTTTGCTTCCTTTTTCACTGCTTTATACCCACTGTCTAGAAAAGAACACTGAGTCAATGCTTAAACTAGATCCTTCACTTCACAGAAATTCACTTTTACTTGGAGGGACTCGGGGTTTAGATCAGATCCAGACAAGCAATATAAATAAATGAAATGGGCAGCGTTGCACGGCATATAGTTAAAAATAGGGGTTGGTAAACTGTAGCCCATGGACCAAACCCAGACCACCAACCTGCTTTTATAAACAGTTTTATTGGAACACGGCCACACCTGTTTGCTTACATATACTCTACGGCTGCTTTCTCGATACCACAGCAGAAGTGAGTAACGCCAACAGAGACCTTCTGGCTCATAAAACCTAAAATCTTTATTATCTCTCTCTTTTCAGAAAAGAATTGCCAGCCCTTTGATTTAGAGCATAGATTCTAGAACCAGCTCTGCCACTTGCCAGCTGGGTCATCTTGAGCAAGTTTCTTAGCTCCCTACACCACAGGTTCATGCCTATAAGATGGAAATAACAGTAGGGCCTACCTCATAGGGTTTTTTTGAGGACTTAGTGTGTTATTATTTGTAAAGTACTTAGAGGAGTGTGCAAGTCCACAGTAAGGCATATGAGCAAGTTTGTTAAGCCTGAGCCCTGCCCAAGTTGGGGGTAGCTGGCACTCATTACAATGCTATGAGGTAAGAAGTATTATCTACACCAGGGATCAGCTAAGCTTTTCTGTAAAGAGCTTGATAGTAAAAAATCAAAAGGCACCATGAGATCATCCATCACGTCAGCCTTTAGAGAACTATTCCCATGCATGGGAAGCTGGGTCAGTCCCATAGCTATATTACAGGCAATGTTCTCCCATGAGAGTATAGGGGAAAGCCCATAAGATGTCAGACGCAGGAGGCCAATGTAGTTTGAGAAGTTGTGAGCGCACTGACCTGGCTATTATCCTGAGACAAAAGGGCAGCCCCTTAGGGGGCATTTTTATTTGCAGTCCATTAGGGGCAGATCTGTGGTTCTTCCGGCTCAGTAGTGAGCGGCAGCTTTGGGAAGGGCGTGCACACAGTTGTGTGCCCTGTGAGTTTTGCAGCATGCTGTAATGTGTCCTCTTCTTCCCAGTGGGAAAAACAGAATGTATGACGTCATCCAAGAGACCGTTGAAAATGATTTTCCAACCTTCCTGGGCAAGATCTTTGCGTTCATCGCCAATCCAGGCCTGATCATTCCAGCCATCCTGCTGATGTTGTAAGTTAGCCAAGGCCCCTGGCTCTGCCTCATGGGAACCTCTCCTTCACCGTTGAAACTTCTTTAGCGGATCCTCCTTTCTTACCCTCGTCGTCTGGATGTCCCAGAAGCAGATCCTGAGACAAAGATTCAAACGCAAGTAGTTTTTTGGGGAAGAGAGTAGGGAAGACAAGCAGAAGGGACAGGAAGCTGCTTTATTATCATTGGGATGCGGTTAGTCCTGCTGGCGAATCCTGGAAAACAGTGTGCTTCCGAGTTACCCCACTCAAGGGCAGGGATCTGGGGCATCTGCACACCAGCTCCCATCAGTCACTGGTTGAATGCTGCTGGGAATCTCGGGAGGGGAGAAGCGTTGGTTCATCGCCCAGCAATACGGGCCAGCTATATTCCCAGGGAGAATGGTTTCTGTGCCGGGGGGCTGCAGGGGGAGCTCCAGGCACAGAGGTAAAGGTACTGGCAGCTGCAAGTTTTCAGGGAGCATATTGAAAGATAGGGACCAAAGAATACGGGTGGGTGCTGACAGTGTCTGTAACACCCTCCTAAACATGTACTAGAAATACCAAAGACCTCTGGCTCTGAGTCTCTGAGAAACCTTAGGGACTGGTTCAGCCTGTCCCTGCAGGGCCCAGGGGACTTCTCCACAGAGCATCCTGTGCCTAGAACATCATTCATCACTATCCCTCTCAAAGACTGAGAAACCCCTGAGGATGGTGGGTGGGTCTGAGAATGTCTGTATCTCCAACATCACCCCCACACCTAGGGCATAGTAGGAAAGCAATGAATGCTCATAGAAGGACCAGGGGAAGGAAGGAAAAAAGAAGACAGGAAGCTAGAGCCCTGAATTTGAATTACCTCATCAAAAATATACTAGGGAAAATATTAGGGTTTTTTTTTAATAAATATCTATTTTTGGCATGTGTTTTTTAAAATTATGAAGTATTCCTAACATACAGAAAAGTACAACCATGTACGGGATCACAAATTTAGATGTTCACATGTAGCAATATTTGCTTCAGATCTCTCTTTAAGAGAAGCAAAATGTTACAGATACACTTCAAGTTCTCCCCAATCCTTTTCTCTTCCTCCCTCTCCAAAGGTAACCACTATTTTAATTAGCTTTAATCATTCTCATACCTATTTGGTACTTTCATCATGTGTGTATGTACTATTGCTTTCTGAGTTTAAAATGTTTTCATGAATGGTCATACTACATAGCTTTCTTCACTCAACATTATGTTTAGAAGACTTATCCATGTGGAAACATGAGCATAGATTTTAATATCGCTATATGTTCCATTGCATGAATGAATGGACCAGTTTATTCATTTCTCTGCATAGACATAGTTAGGTTGTTTCTACATTGTTGCTCTTGCAAATGTGCTCCTGGTACATATATGTCTCCATGTGAGAGTTTCTCTAAGGTAGACCTCTTGGAGTGGAACTGTTGGGTCATAGGTATGTGTTTCTTTATTCTCTTTAGATAGTGTTATACTGCTCTCCAAGATAGGTGTATTTCCTTACGTCTCAATTCCAAACATCTGCTCTAGTCCTGGCATGTGAGGGCTGACATGCTATAACAACCTGGACCCCCTGAGAAGATTCTGGAACCCAGACACCAAACCTGACCTTTGCAGGCAACTTCAGGGGGAACACAGTCACCCATAAACACTTTATCCTCTCTGACCTCCAGCTCCTCCCTAATAAATGGGTTGTTAGTTAGGAGAAAGGGCAAGTCCTGGTGCAGAGAAAGTGCCAAAACAGAGAGTGGTCCCTTTACCTGCCTCCCTTCTCTGTATGGAGAGAGCTTGTAGACTCTGCTAAAGTGGCAGTGGCGGCCCACATGAGGGAAGGTTGGGGAGTAGCTAAGGCTTGAAGTTCATGGAGAAAAGTGACAATTAGGATGAACCTAAAAAGCTCTCAGATAACAGGCTGGCTGAGCACCCAGCCCAAGTGGCCTCTCTGTTCTCAGGAAGTACAGTTCAGGTCATAGCCTCGAGCAGGTCCTGTGAAAGGGAAGCCCAGGTTCTAACCTTGAAGGACACCCAGTCCTGAAGTCAGCCAGTGGGAAACCAGCAACTGAAAACCAGCAACTCAGGAAAGAAATTCCATCCGTGCACCTGAGCAGGGGACCTCCACGGCATCTGCAGTTGTGTTTCTAGGCAAACTTGGAGCAGGTACTTAGCAGCTCTGCCTCTCTCCATACTTGATGGTTGTGAAAAGAGTTTTGGCTTCAAATGTTGCTCTGAGGAGCTCTAATAGATGACCTGGCCTTGGGCAAATTACTTAACCTTTCTGCATCCCAGGATACTGATTTGTAAAGAGCGGAACCATCATTTCTACTTCATGGAGTTTCATCAAAACCAGTGGGGGCGGGACGCACATGGCACAGAGCCTGGCACCAGGCAGTGCCCAGGAAACACAAGCAGCTTCTTTCACAGACAGGAAACCCCGCTACTCCCCCACCCCTTCAGATTTCCATAAGAGGGATGATTCCTATAGCGGCCTTTACTGAGCACTCTGAGAGGTAGAAATGTGTAGGTCATTTCCACATTCCATCAGATAGAGAGAGCAGGGATGTCCAGGACCTTTTTTCCATGTTAAGTGGAAGACTTAGGATGGTAGGGCCTCTCTCCATCCTGCCCAGGGGCAAAGCCTTGGCACCGATTGCGAGAAGCCTGCCCTGATTTCTGGGAAAGGCACCCAGCTCTTGTCACTTTCCAAGGTCGCCGTACCACAGGAGGCATGCTTTTCTCTTACAGCCTGGCCATCTACTATCTGAACTCAGTTTCCAAAACCCTTTCCCGCGCCAATGCCCAGCTGAGGAAGAAAATCCAAGCGGTGAGTCTGTCTCGAGTTTCATTCCTCTGTCGAGAGTTCCATCCTGGAAGGTGAAATGATGCCATGTTTTTGTGTTTTGCTGATTTGCTCTGTGAGCCCAGTTGTGTGCTCTAAATGGCTTTCTTCTGAACCAACGCCAAAAACATATGTATGACAGGTAGCAGCCTGTGAGACTCAACAGCATGCGTTTACATCCTCGGGCTATGTGGGTGTCCATGACAATACTTACTTACATTTTGAGAGGTTGCTGAAGAACAGGATAAATTCAATGAATTCAACCAATGTTCACACATCATAAAACCGGTACCCACGATAATTCCTATAGATTAAAACTAATACTATAAATACTAAAGAAAACAGTGTTGTCAAAACCACATATTGCTTGTGGCCTGTGGCCTAGGAGGTCTTGAAAGTTCCCTCCAAGCGCAGGCAGCCCCTCTCAACATTAGCTGGCTTCAGACCCCTCTCTTCCAGTCTCCCAGCTCCCCCACCCTCACCTGCTACATATGTAAACCCTCCCTAGGCCCTGTCCTCCTTGCTTCCTCGATGCCTCTACCGGAAGGAATTTCATCTGCTTCACAGCCAGTTCTCCATCCCCATTTCCTTAATCCTACTGGTCTCTTGCCCAGATAAAGAAAACCACTGATCTAAGATTGGAGGGCTTCCAGCCTGCAGGGCCAGGTGCACCTTCAAACGCTGTGCAAACCTGAGCTCTGCTGCCCCCTGCAGTCGAATCCGCAACCCGGGCATGTGCCCTTGACCAGATTTAAGGTAGTTCCCAAGAACTGAAGATGGAGTCTTTGCCATCTAGATCTCACCATTCTGAGCTCAAACACCCATTTCCCGGGCCAAGACCAACCATTAATGTTTTCCTGCAGCTCCGTGAAGTTGAGAAGAGCCACAAATCTGTCAAAGGCAGAGCCGCAGCCAGAGATTCCGAGGACACGGCTAAAGGCAGCTCCAAAAATGCCACCAAAGCAGGTAAATTCCATGTCATGATTACTTTTTACAAAGCCACATAGTAAGGTGTAAAGAGTGTATGTGGTGAAATCAGATCTGAGATTGAAATCAGAATTTGGGCGATTATTAGCTGTATGAAGTTGGGTCAGTGAAAATAAGAATGAATGATAGCCCTAGCCGGTTAGGCTCAGTGGATAGAGCGTTGGCCTGCGGACTGAAGGGTCCCAGGTTCGATTCTGGTCAAGGGCACATGCCTGGGTTGCGGGTTCGATCCCTAGTGGGGGCGGGGGTGCAGGAGGCAGCCAATTGGTGATTCTCTCTCATCATTGATGTTTTTATCTCTCTCTCTCTCTTCCTCCCTGAAATCAATAAAAATATATGTATTTTTAAAAAGAATGAATTATAGTGCTGACCTCATGCAGCGGTGAAAATGAGATGGATCATGTGTTAAAGTGCTTTACAGAATTCCTGGCACAGAGAAAGGACCGATGAAACAAGCTGCCTCTGTAACATGGGGAAGTAGCACTGCTTGTCTTGCAGGGCTGCCTCACTCATTTCTACTCTCCAAGTCTTCTGTGGTGACTTTTCGTCTTTCTGTTCCTCATAATTTAGTTGTTTCAGAAATGATTTTGTCTTCTTCACTTTCTCTCCTGGGCCTGTTAGTTCCCATCTAATGTCTGGCTACTTAACCCAACACTGAGAACTATTGGTCCCACCACACCCCTTTAAGATGCTCTACGTGTCAGCTGTCATGGGTCACAGCTGCCCAGGGATGGGGGAGGTATTTGTTTTCTATGTTGTTTTGAAGGGAGATTTGCACCTAGCCGCTGCTACATGTTTGTATTATCTTTAAAAAGAAAACACCAGAATATCTAGAATAAACGGATAAGAAAGAGCCACATATGTTCCAAAGTGTCACAGGGCTTCTGAGGAGACTAATCAAAAGCCATCTCCACCTTGGGAGTAAGAAAAGGTCAAGTTGAAAGAGATCATCTCTGAGGTGATCCCATTTTCCAAGGACTGTCCCTGTTTTAAATTAAACAGTGCCAGTATGCTGTGATTTGGGCCTTTGGTGTGAGAATTGAATAAGATGCACAAGAGATGACTGATAGTTTATGAGTTATAATTTTTAGTGCAGAAATTATTTGATACTTTTAGAACATGTAGGCAAGACTATCAGAAAAAGAAACAAGAATTTAAGCATATAACAGTATTGCCCTGCAAGATGAAAATCCTCCATCAGTTTATTTTCAATTCTCCAGTTCCACTAGTCAGGAGAAATAGGGCACCCATGTACATCCCTAGCAAACATTTTGTTGATATTAGAATAATAATGCCCTGGCTGGTGAGGCTCAGTTGAGCATCATCCCATGCACTGAAGGGTCACTGGTTTGATTCCCGGTCAAGGCACATACCAGGTTGTGGGTTCTCTTTCTCCCTCTCCATTCCTCTCTAAGAGCAATTAAAAATATATACCTTTTTTTAAATGAGTAGTAACAAGTATTCTAGTACTGAGTGTTGACATTGGAATGGGACAAGTTACTTCTGAATAGTAAAAAGTCACAGGTAAACAAGTGGATGTTGCAAAAAGAGGACAAGTGGATGTGTCAAAATAGAACCTATCCCAGGTGATTCTCCCAAAATGTGTGGAGCTACAGACCTCCTCCATAAGATGGACCAGCAGCCCATCGAGGGCCTCACTCATGGACTGGTTTGTGGCATGCAGGAGAGTGACTGACTGGCAGCTTATTATTGTGAGGTTGAGGAAAATATCTGAAATCCCCTAACTTTTCCACACAGGTCAGAAAATGGAGCAAATGCAATACTATGTTGTAATATCACCAACAAAACAAAAAATGCAATGGATGTATTTGGACACTGATAGACTTAAGTATGGAAGGAAAAATAGGTGTGCACAATGTTTTCCATGAGAAGCCAAGACACCTACACTGGTTTGTCAGTTGTCACATGTCCCCAGAATCCCAACGTGCCTGTCTTCCTGACCCACTTCTTTTCCCTCCTTTCTCTACTGGCTGCTGTTGTAAAGCTTGCCCTTCTTCAAATTTTAATTCTTATTACAGATCTAAAGCTCTTTTAATTTAATATTGACTAAATCAGTACTGCAGTTTTTGCTTTTGTTAGAAAAAAAAAAGAATTCTCTGAATATACCCATGGCAGCTTAGGAAAGATGGTCAACCTTTAGTCAGGAAAATTCCAATAGTCTCATTGCTGCCCTCACTTAGCTTCTCTTCTCGAAGTATTCACCAGAATGATCTTAGCTGTTGTAACAAACAGGCCCCAAACAGCAAATGGCTCAAACACAATAAAAGTTTACTTCTCACTCAAAATAATGTCCAAATTGGGTATTTAGATTAGATGGCCACTTTCTTCCCAAGTGATGATGCGGGGACCCTGGCTCCTTCCATCCTGTGACTCCGCCTGCCTCCAACCAGTGCAAGGGGAAGAGCCTAGAACACGCGCCTGGAAGTGGCCCACATCAAAGCCTAGACTTGAGTCAAGGCCATGCCCATCCATAATGGAAACTTAGTCCATTTCTGTGTCCCAGAAACTGGGTCTGGTAAGGAACAAGCCAGTAACTGCCCCTAACTTGGACTTTGGGGAAGGGAAGGAAAAGAACTGGAAGCTGGATTTAATTCCAGTTCACACAGCCCCTTCCATCACCATATTTGACCCTGGCAGCCACCTGAGAGCTGTTGTCCCAATTTTATACTCAAGAAAACCAGGTCCAGAGAGTCTAGCCTAGGGCCAGCATTCAAATTCTAGTCCTCCAGCCAGCAGATCGTATTCCTCCAGCAGATCTGTTCATGCAAAGGCTAGGCCAAGGTGTCCCCAAAGCCTGAGAGTGAGCTGACCTTTCTCAAATCACCAAATAGGACTGAAATCTACATACCAAGCAGGAACAGCTCCAGGGGGCTCTATTCCATACAAAAAAACAAAAACAAAACAAAAAAAAAACACTGTAGCAAAATCTCTCATATCCTCATTCTTGTCTTGGTTCTTTTTCCAGAGACCATGCCTCACTCTGCCAGCCAAAGCCAGACCCTGGGCAAGAAGGCGCAGGGCCCTGGGACCTCCCGTTCTGCCAGTGGGACCATGCTGCCTGCCTCCAGTCACCTCCCTATATCTCGGCCTCCTGGCATCAGACCAGATCCTGGCCATGCCGGGCCTCAGACTCATCCTGGGAGGGCAGCCTCTAGAAAGAGTGCTCAGAGACCTCCCCACTGACAGCGGGGACTCAGAGGAGCCCCTTCCTGGGGCTGAACCTGAGCCCCACCAGCTCACATGCCCAAATCGGTGTTTTCTCTCCTCTCTCACACACGTTCTCTCTCCTCTTATTGAACGTGGGGATTTTGATTACTTAGTCTCAGGCCATGGCTTCCTGTCTCCCCATAATTGTCCTTCCCAGTATCTTGGTGCAGGTAGCTCTGGACCTTGCACACCCATGGTGCCTTCCCTTGGCTCCAGGCTTTGGGAGAAGGGGCAGGGCTGCCACCACCATCATAGACTTTACTCATGGCACCCATGTTGGGACACAGGTTTCTACCAGCTCCACCAGCTGGGAGGAGGGTGCACAGGGGCCATATCCTGACCATCACCTCTATACAAAGGAGGTGAGATGGTTAGGATAAAAGGTACAAGAAGCTAATGAAAATAAAACTAAATGGACCCAAGTCCAGCCATGGTGAGTGGGAAGGTGGTAACCCAGAACCTAGTCTGAGGGGGAGCCGACGCCATGAAGCACCAGAAATGCACTGGAGCCTCCTAGCAGCAAGGCAATGAGGGAGTAACATAGTCCTTCTTATCTAATTGAAGGAAACTTAAGATTGTTCAGGGCAGAAAATCTTCCTCATGCACCAAATTATAAAAGGAACGTGGTAGCCTGTTTATTGCATAGGAGAAGCTGAAGATGATCTCTGAGGAGTTTTGCAAAGGGTGCAATGCAGAGCCTTGACCATCCTGTTCACGCAGGGGTGGGGAACCTTTTTTCTGCCCAGGGCCATTTGGATATTTATAACATCATTCGAGGGCCATACAAAACCATCAACTTTAAAATTAGCCTGCTGTATTTGGTCAGACATTTAATTAACTCACCTCTAATGCCTTGGCAGGGCCAGACTAAATGATTATGCGGGCCTTACATGGCCCGAAGGCTGGATGATCCCCACCCTTGACTAGTGTCACGGGGTTCTATGCAAAATGTCTCCAGGCAGCATAGGAGGCCAGGCCATTGAGAAGGTGTTGCCAGCAAGGGCAAAGGCTCAGCACAGTCACAATCCAAGACTCTTCAGTAGCCAGGTATCTTGCTGGCTGTTCCCTTCTTTCTTCTACCTGGTGCCCCCAGACCCAGGTGAGCATGCGGCTTCAGGATCAAGGGACACTCTCACTCCATGTCTCTGCACGTCGTAAAAGTAGTCCTGTCCCTCAACCACCACCCAATCAAGTCCCCAGAGATTCTCAGGAGAATCCCCACACCCTGGAAGTCAGGCAAAGTCCTGATGGAGATTTCATAAGCTATACAATTCAAATGATTTCCACTTCCTTCCCTTTCCCAGCCCAGCTCCAAAACTTCACACATAACCTGGGATGGAGTGAGATAAACTATAAATTATTTCTCCCACGTTCATATCCAGGCAAGACTAAATAAGATCTGGCTGATGCCCCATCTTCCTGGAACCGAGATCCAACCCCCCAATCCAAAAATGTTGGTGCATCATACTCCTTCTTTGGGAGAATACACCCCAGTTTCAAACTAACCTACCTGAGACCTCAACATAAGAATCAACAGAATCTAATCCAACCATCAGGACTGTAAGACCCAACATTGGCCACCACGCTGATACCTGGCCTTCAAGTCATCCTGCCTGGGGATAATGCCAGCCCCTGGGGAAGGGAACAAGAGAGGCCTCAGTCATCACTCCTGGCAGTGACTACTGTCAGGCTTCTAATGGCTATCAATATACCTAAACACCCACCATAAACACAAATTATCCTGTTCTGGTGATGCATAATTTTATGTGAGGGAATACTTGCTTTATATTGCTTATCAACAAACTGTCCCCAAAATTTAAGAGCTTAAAACAATAAACATTTATTATCTCTTACAGTTTCCTGTGGATCAAGAATTTGGGAATGATAATAATATTATAATAACAATGTAGGGTTTCAGCTAGGTACTTGAATGATTGGGAGAATCACTTCATAAATTATAGAATTGTCTAACCCAGGGGTGGGCAAACTTTTTGACTCGAGGGCCACAATGGGTTCTTAAACTGGACCAGAGGGCCGGAACAAAAGCATGGATGGAGTGTTTGTGTGAACTAATATAAATTCAAAGTAAAAATCATTACATCAAAGGGTATGGTCTTTATTTTATTTTTATTTTTTTTTAGTTTTATTCATTTCAAACGGGCCGGATCCGGCCCGCGGGCTGTAGTTTGCCCACGGCTGGTCTAACCACTATGCTGTACACCTGAAACTAATATAAAATAATGCTGAATGTCAACTGTAACTGAATAATAAAATTAAAATAATTTGGGAGTGGCTTACCTGGGCAGATACGGTTCTGGATATTGCAGTCAAGATCTCGGGCAGGGCTGTAGCCATTGGGAGACTTGACTGGGGTTGGAGGATATGTTCACAAGATGGTGCACACTCATGGCTGTTGGCAAGAGGCTTTGGTTCCTTGCTGCAATTAACAGGAAACTTTGATTACTCCCCACATGCACCCACATGGACCTCTCCATAGGGCTGATGGGGTATCCTCACAACATAGCAGCTGGTTTCCCCTACAGCAAGTAATCTGAGAGAGCAAGGGGGGAGCCACAATACCTCTATAACCTAGTTTCAGAAATTACACCATCAATTCTACCACTTTCTACTCATTAGAACTAAATCAGCAAGTCTAGCCCACACTCAAAGGAAAGATTAGGCTGCATCTCTTGAAGGGGGTGGTTAACAAAGAATTTTTGAATGTATTTTAACAGTTTTCCTAATTCAAATAGTTACAAGAGCTCTACCAAGAAAACGCTAAAGGTTTTTTGAAAGACATCCATCAGAGGATGAGTTCATGGTGGCTCCTGGGACTCTCAAGCAACAGGACACTTCCAGTGAGCGAGGGAGATGGGCAGAGGAAGAAGGCATAGGTGAGAGAGGTAGGGTGTTGAAGTGGTGTGGCTTTACAGGTAGGACATGTTATTAGAGAACAGTCTAGTAGATTATCATCTCTCTATTCTCGGGTTTGAGTTTCCAGTTCATTCCATCTTAAAACTTCACTATGCAGCCTGTCCAGAGACCATCCGGCATGCAGACCATCTCTCTTCCTCCCATCCTTCCTTTCTTCCCTCTTTCCTTTCTCCCTCTCTTCCACCCCTTCCTTCTCTCTTTCGGTCACCTAAGAGTGATTTGAATTAGCAGGTCCACTTAACAATTTACCCAGAGAATTATAACTAGTGTCTTAGTGACATTACCCTAGTTTGTCTGTGTGTTCCTTACTGGGGGAAATGAAACAGACACTGAATTTTATCTGTCAGAAGCTATTTTTACAGACAGACCCTTTCTTTCTAATAACCTACATGCTCAATGTCCATAAAGAGCTCCATTGCACACAGAATCACATAAGTAGGAACACACTTTTGGTGAAGATCAAGTTGGGCACCTCATTTTCCCATGACTTGCACACTCACAGAAACTGGGGAGTGATGTGCCAGCCAGGGAGAGGACCTGAGCAGGTTACCAACAGCAGCCACTACACTGGGCATCCTCAGTTCAGTAAAGTCATTTCCAATATGCTCTGTAGCACCCCACCCTAAGCTGCGGCCCCAAAGTCCCTCAGGCTCTGTAAGGAGCAGTAAGAAATAAACCTGCATGCATAAAGGAACACTTATTTCTCTTCATCTTGGTACAAGTAGAGGAGAAAGGTCTCCCTTGAGAATTTATATTAACAAGGCAGTCCTCACACAAAGAATCTAAATTCCCTTCCCTACTGTGTGTTCCAAAAAACTCAAATGGAAAATTTTACAGTGATCTTAGGTTAATTGTACCTCCAAGAAAGGGGAGGGAGGAAGGCAAAGAAACAACAAAAATTACACCAAATAGAAAGCATATAACAGGATTTAAAATACTAGTATATCAGGAATCAAAATAAATGCTGTCCAGCTAGTGTGGTTCAGCGGTTGAGCAGCTACCCAGAAACCAAGAGGTCATTGGTTCAATTCCCAATCACGGCACATGCCTCGGTTGCAGGCTTGATCCCCAGTGGAGGCCGTGCAGGAGGCAACCGATGTTTCTATCTCTCTCCCTCCTCTCTCTCTAAAAATCAATAAAAATCAAATAAATGCTCATGTAATAAAACCTCCAGATAAGAGACAAAGATTATCAAATGGATATTTTTAAATCCCATGTGTTGTTTCCAAGTGATACCTTTAAAACCTAAGACGAGGGCAAGTAAGCACTTTGTCCCTTTTGGTTCCTAGGGAACAAAAACAAATACAATCTTTAGGGGCAAAATCACCAGGTACATGGGTACCAACCAACTTTGTAAACTGGGTTTGTTTTTGAGTGCTGAGGGTTTCTATTGAAGACAGCTGTCTGCAGTACTATACCAGATAATTTATTTTTCAGTGTGGCATTAGTTTGAAAAATGTAAAGAGAGACACAATCTCATGGTTGGGGCACATGAGGTAAATACACATACCGATATCTCCATCACCAAGTCATATCCGGAATAAGGGCCATATAAACCCAACCTCCAAAATCTGTTGGAGATTCAACCAGTTGAGACATGTAAAACTAAGTGCCAAACATTATGCTAAGTGATCAATAAATAGCAAATATTATCATAGGTGTGGATAAGATCAAATATCCTCAGACTCAGGCTATGAACACAAACAGCATCAACTGAACAAAACTTTTACCCTGTAATTCTTTTTTTATGTATTTTTTAATTTTTTTTATTGTTGATAGTATTACAGATATCTCCCATTCCTCCCCCCTCCTTTATACCCTATAATTCTAATCAACTCTGAGCTTCAGAAGCTATAGCCAAAAAGAAAAGGAACACTGGGCTAGATGGTCTTCCTTCGATGCCTTTCATTCTTCTGTGTCCATGGAAATAATGTTGCGGCCCAGCCAGCGTGGCTCAGCTGCTGAAGCAGGAGGTCATGGTTCCATTCGGTCAGGCCAGGAGGCAGCCAATCAATGATTCTCTCCCATCATTGATGTTTCTATCTCTCTCTCCCTCCCTGAAATCAATAAAAATATATTAAAAAAATAAATGTTGCATATATGGGTAACTCATTATCAAAGACTTTTGCAAGGTTTCTTTTCACATTAGAAAAAAGGGCAAACGAATTGATTGCTAGAAGCCTTTTAACTGTCTCATTCACAAAATGTGTAAACTGCCGCCATCTTGTGGTTATTTCATGCAATTTCCTTTCTTAAAGGAATTTTTTTTTTTTTTTTTTTTTTAGAGAAAACATTGATTTGTTGTTCCACTTTTTCATTGGTTGACTCTTGTATGTGCCCTGACCAGGGATTGAACCCAAAACCCTGGCCTATCAGGACAACGCTCTAACCAAGTGAGCCACCAGGCCTAAAACTAGTCACTGCAATTTAAACAGTCATCCTCGGTTTAACCACAAGGATAGTTCTGAAAAATGCATTGGTGGGCAATTTTGTCATTGTGAGAACGTTATAGAGTGTACTTAACACAAGCCTAGATGGTATAACCTACTACCCACCTAGGCTATATGGTATACCACTGTCATATATAGGTCAGTCCTTATGTGGCACTTGGCTATAGCACATTCCATTTCCATCGTTCCCCGTTAGCATTGCCCATGGCTCAAAGTAAATTAACTCTGGGTTAATTTAGATCAAAATGACACAGTGAGCCACAGACTAGGCTAAACAAAAACGTTATGGATGCTACAGTGTGTGACCCTTCCCCATGGCTACAGTCCTATCTGCACCGAGAAAGAAAAGGCCCTGGGTGCCTCATGGCTTTAAAGCTTGAGTCTGGAACATGCCTGGAAGCCCACAGCTCCCCCTCAGACCTGCTGCCCGTGAAGAACATTTTCTCAGCTGGAACATCACCTCCAAATTAATCTCCAACCAAACATTGTTTAGTGAAGAGTAAGAGCCTCATCAGATCAAGCAATTCATCCTGCCTTCATGTAAGGCTTGTTTTAGATTCTACATACTAGATCCTTCCGTCCTTCTCCAACTACTGACCAAGATGACGCTTATACCTCTAGCAGGTTCTTCTCTTGTTTCTGGCTTTTGCTTCCACTCTCTTTCTTTCACCTCTTAACAACCTACACATTCTTCTATTATTACCTAAAACCCCTTCTGGCCATAAAGTCTTCCTCGGGAGCACTGGCCCTCACCACCACCACCAAATTATCTTCTGCTCTGCCTCCCATACGACCTCATTTCAGCACTTTGTTCTGTTCATTCTTCCAGGATTATAAAGTCTCTAAAGTCAGAAGTCAAGGGTTATGTTTTTATTTTTCTCCGAGATCTCTGCATTACTCTCTTGATTAAGATCTCTGTCCAAATGTCACCTCATCACTGAGGGCCTCTATGAAACAATGCAACATTCCTTAACATTTATCAACATATTTACTTCATTTTTCATCTCCCCATAGAATGTAAACTCCATGATGGTACTGACTTGGTTTGCTTACTACTGTATCCATGCACCTAGAAACACCTGGCACGCAATAGGCATTTGAACTGGTGAATCGGCCCTCCCAAATGTGGATGGGTATCATCTGATTCTTCGAGTGCCAGAAAAAAACAAAAGGTGAAGGAAACAGAAATTAGTTCTATCTCTGCTTGAGCTGAGATTTCATCTTCTCCTCCCCTTGCACATCCGTGCTCCTGGTCCTCATGCTTTGACTCAGAGGCAGATTTATTTATCCAAAATGTGTTAGCTTTCAGCTTAGTTACTCTCAGTCTAATCCACAGAAATTATACATATGTGTGTGTGCATATGTATTTCTATATGTACACATATACTATGTATATGTTTACGAGGGTGTACATATTTGTATACAGATGTATGTTTAGCTGAGACAAGTTCTACAAGTCAATACCCCTTCCCTTACTCTCTGTGACATATTACTATTTCCTATTCTCTTTCATCCTTTCTTTTTAATGCTGGTCAAGAATGTCTAAACCCTGCAATCTATTAATGGATTCTGACTTCTTTGAAAGCCCCTAACTTAGCAGATAAGCACTTGTAACTCCAGGAATATTTAGGATTAACTACAGAAATAATGAAGTAAAACAAAGTCATAGCATTAATATTCTCCATTACATTTTGAAACCATCTATTTAATTTGGTATTTATAACGTTTAAGAGAATTTAATATTATTAGTATAGATTATTTTTGCAATTCCATTTTAAAATGTGAAGTGGAATAACTGATTTAGGCCCATAATTTTAAGTGGATATATGTAACAGAATTTAATGTTTGCAAGCAATATTGAGATTTTAATATTTACCATCCATATTTTTAAGTTTAATATATTTGGCTTTAAGAGTGAGCTCGGGCCCAGTGGTTGAACTTAGACCTATGAACCAGAAGAATCAGGGTTCGATCCTGGGTTGTGGGCTCCCTCTCTGAAATCAATAATATATATATATATATAGTTGAATAGATAATAGAACCACAATAGAGAGAGCTTATAGAATTGACCAAAGTCAAATAAAATATATTAAATTTATAAATGTACTTTTGTATGGGAATTTGTTATTTTTTTAAAAAAAACCTTTAGCCCTGGCTGGTTTGGCTCAGTGGACAGAGCATCACCTGGGGACTGAAGGATCCAGGTTCGATTCCAGTCAAGGAAACATGCCGGGGTTGTGAGCTCCATCCCCAGTAGGGAGGCTGTAGGAGGTAGCCGATCAATGATTCTCTCTCATCGTTTGTTTCTCTCTCCCTCTCTGAAATATATTTTTTTTAAAGTTTAAAACCAAACAGATCCCTTTAACCCGGTGGGCGTGGCTCAGTGGTTGAGCCTTGGCCTATGCACCAGGAAGGAGGTCCCGGTTTGATTCCTCCCTTGGGGCACCATGCTGGGGTGGTGGGCTCTGGGGCGTGCAGGAGGCAGCCAAAGAGATGTTTCTATCTCCCTCCCTCTCCCTTCTTCTCTGAAATCAATAAAAAAATAATTTTTAAAAAAAGACTTAAGGGCCCTTCAACAGGGCAACACGTGTTCGCGCAAAAGGAGGTGTGCTCTGCTCAAGGGGAACAAGAACCGACCTAGAAAAAGGTGGGATCGTCTTTCTCTTCTACTGTATCGCCTGCCACCCTCGTTTTTAGAAAAGAAATACACAAAATATTATTTAAAGGCATAAAACCAGCCACCAGGAGTGTCGTTTCTTTAGGGTCTGCGCCAGAATGCCCAGGCCCCCTTCCGTTCCTGTGAAGAACGGGAGCGCGGCCCTCGGGCCTCCTAGGAGGGGGGCCCTCAGGGGAGGCAGGATGAAGGGGTCCAGAAGGGCGTGGGGCGCAGGGAGGCGTCTGGGGCCCGAGGTCACCTGCGCTGCGGAAAGCGAGCTCGGCATCAGTTTCCCGAGCAGGGCCTCCAGTCCGGATCTCACCTAGCTCTGTGGCCCGTCATTTATCTGATGAGAACATGAGGGCCTGGACTATTATCCAGAAAAGCGCTTTTCCAAACTGTTCTGCAGCCTGCAAGGCTCGGCCCAGGCCCGCGCGTCCCCAGCTACTGCGCCGCCCGCGCTACTGCAGAGGCCGGAAAAGGTCGCCCGATTATATATTCACTTGATTTTTAGATTCACTTGTTGATAGATGTGTATTTGTTGTTCATATTTTGTATCTTTACCTTTCCTCTGATTGGCCAGCGGGGATCGGGGGCGGGGCTTCCGGAGCCTGGTTCCGCGCGCCAGAGCCCGCGCGCCGCATTGCGAGCCGGACTAGGAGCGGACGCCATGGTGAGGAGTGGTTGTGGTGTGCGAGCCCGGCGTAGGCCACGGTTTGGGCCTGGGTTTAGGCCTGGGTTCGGGCCTGGGTTCGGGCCTGAGCCCTGGCCGGACC